CAGCTCGTCGAAAAATTACAATATATATATATATATATGTACCACATATAGGTCAAAATCAAAGCTTACTTCAAACACCCTTAGAACTAATAATGGAGAGTTGTAGCACGGTGGCAACGGTATGCTCAAAACATACGTGGTGCCTAGGTTCAAATCCTTGTAGAGTTGATCAACAACTATGCAGTATACAAAGAAGATAAAAGGTATGAAGTGTCATCTTCAGTATTATATTGTCATGCTAATAAGGAGGACACATATATAGTGAATAATGATTCATCAAGTTGACTTGTTGGAATTATGACCTCCGCAATTCAACTAAGGAACACGTATGAGCTACATGTTCCTAAATTATTTTGTAGTTTGACGTTGATATGTATGCAAATGGATAATACTACAGTTTTCAATTATACTTTTATTGAACCACTTACCACTTATCAATACATATCAATTGGAATTATCAAGAATTGGAATTATTTGTGAGCAAAATCTTTCTTGGATCGATGAAAAAGAAGAAAAGCACAGCTCGGAATTGCGTTATGACGTCAAGGCAAAAGCAAATCAGCTTATATATTTAAACCAAGAATTGCATGAAAATGACAGGGCACTCCATGCATTGCATAAAGAAACAGAAAATTTACTTCAAATAAAATCAATAGACAAGTGGGGGAGCAAAAAAAGCAACTACTGGGCCTTATATTTGAACACTTTTAGTTGGAACTGCTTCATGCTTATTATACTGATCAATATATAAGCAAAAGAGAGGTTCATGCTTTTACATTGAGAACTACATACACTAAGGATCCATCAAACCCCACTTTAAACTTTTTTCCTTCCTTTCGTTTTCAAGTATTGTAGGACTCATTTTTGGCATAATTTATCCCTACATATTCGTGCAAAATAATATAGTGATTAAAACCAGCTTGAACACAACTCAACTAATTTCCTGATGTACCTACTATATGCTTTTCGCCAGTACAAATGCCAGATAAGTCTATCCACTAAAGTGTGGACAAATGGGAAGAAAGCATCTAATGGTTTTTTTCCTTGCTAGAATTCAAACAGGAGATTTCGCGATTTTCAACCTACTTGATTGACAACTAGGCCAAACATTTTGTATAGAAATGAATTTTTTAATACAAATACCGAGTTTGAGGAAAGCTAGAATACATAGATAGTACTATGGCTCTGACTCTGATATAACATCCTGTTTGGACTTGACTGTATGGAATATATTTTTATTTTGTGTACCTTTTAAAAATGCTGAAGGGTCAGTAAAGTAATTCGTTCCTTCCAGGACGGAGGGGTAAAACTTAAACATTTTATATCATCTTATCCCATATTCTTCGTGACATAAGAAAACTAGAATTTCTAGAAATCTTAAAGTGATGAACTATTAACTAAGCTTAAGAAACAACACTACAATCAAATAATATAAGAAAGAAGCATAAATAATGAGTAACTTTGTCGATAATAATTTGAAATTTTTTACTATGATTAATTTTCCCTTTTTTAAAATTTATAGGAGAATTTTCCCTTGTCTAGATTCAATTTTACTAATTTTCAAAACTAAACTGAAATTATATCAACTCAATATTAAAAATATAAAATTTTAATATTCAAAACTTATATAAAACTATAATAAGTCCCAATTCTTTTAATGTCAATTTTGTAGAAAATAAATTTTAAAAAATGTTATCATACTGTCAAGGGGTATGTGTAGACGCAACGTAACAATGTCAAATGCAAATACCCTAAGATTGACCATTATATACACGGTCGAAAATGTCGCTATATGTCCAAATTATTATTTTTGATCGATATAAAAATAAATTATAATATAATCTCAAAAAGTAAGTTTCAAATTTTATTCTTACATTATATCTTTACAAAAAAAATTTTGTTTCTCATATTTTAAATTAAATGATAAAAAATAAGAAATTCAAATACTAATAAGCAAATAGATCTAAATTTAGATTAGCTGTTGAATTCATTCCCTGATCGAAAAGGAAAATATATTTATTTCACTTGTTTCTAATAAAATAATTTACTACTATAATTATTCTCTATTTCCTTCCTTTGTTTTATAATGAAAATTTCGTAAGCGATGGTAAATGAAGGCAACCATACAACACACAAATCAAGAAGACAATATTTAAAAAAGAAAAAAATATAGGCATAATATATATATATATTAAATATAATTTAAAACTGAATTAAAAAATATATTTATATATTATGTCAAAAATATACCATACTATTTTTAACCTGAAGCATTTGTTGGGCTACCAAACAAAATTAAAAAAACCTATCTATACACGTGATCCAGCACAATTACAGCTGCCGTATCTTATTTTATTTACCAGGAAAATAGTGAAAAACGTCAACAAACTCGTCAAATTTCAAAAACTGCAAATCTCAACGTATTATCAGATTCATGATACTCATTTGATGGATTTATGACATTTGCACGTGTAGAGAGAGAAATAGGAATTTACTTGTTTAATTTTATGAAATTAATAAGTAATTTTATATTTTATTTGTAATTTATTTTATTATTAATTATTATTAATAATATATTTAAAGAATAATTTTTTAAAAATATATAAAGTTAATAGTAAATATAATATACTATTATTTTTCAACATGAATAAAATGTCTATTGAGATTTCCCCAATTTTAACTCAATTTAAAAGAAAAAAAGAAAGGTACCTTAAGGAAGGCGACAATGGAGTGAAGATTGTGCTTGAACTCCTCAAGAGGAACGTGTTGAAAAGCAGAGCATCTATCAGCAAGAGACGCATCGTTCGCTCCAAAGAAAACCGTCACCGCCAATGGCGATTCCGATTCGGATTTCTCAGTCGCCGGAAAAACTTTCTCCAACACTTTCAATGCCCATCTTGTGTTATACCCACTATACCCTCTTAACACCACATCCGCCTAAACAAAACAAAAATCATCAACAGAAAAGAGGAGAAAAAAATTAAATTAAACAGAAGAGGTGTTGAATATATACGGTGCGATTGAAGTGTTTGACGAGAGAAGCACCCCATCCACCCTCATCGAATGACATTTCAGTGATGGAATCTCCAAACAGATAAATCTTTGGTCTCATTTTTCCTGCTGAGAATCAAGTGAAAAGGAGAGGAGAAAGAGAAGGTAGATTTTAGCTTTTAGGGCTATATGGAAGAGCGTTGATGATTGTAGGAGGAGAAAGATGCAGTAGTAGTACTTTAAAAGCTTTTTCCCCTTTTTACATAAAAGAAAAAAAAGACTTCTAATGTTTCCTTTGATAAATACTCTTTTATTTTAATTTTTATTTCCTTTTTTTTAGATCAGGGTCAGAAAGAAATGCATTTAATAGAGTATGAAGTTTAAAGAAAAAAAAGGAAAATTTACCGAATTCACACTAGATTAGAACTTAAATAAAGTCTAAGTTTGCAATACTAGAATTTTTATCAGACATATATTTTGAGATACACGAGATTAAAATTAGATATAATTCATTATAGTTACATTATATTCAAATGAATTTGCATATATATTGAATACATAGTAAATCTCGCTTGCGTCCCTTCCATCTCATTAGTCAATTTCTTATATATGTAAAATCTCATATAAATGTGAATATATATCATATCATACAAATATATGTATCTAGTATATATATAATGTGATTTACATTTATATGAAATAGATAACTATCTCGCTCGTTTTCCTTCACATCTTGCTCTCCTCTTTACCTATTTTAGTGCATATGGTAACAAAAATATTTTTGTTTGAAACTTTGTTAAATCAGCCACAAATTAAATAACTTCGAAAAGTGAATACGAATTGAATAATAAAGTAAAAACTCACTATCAGTATCTTTTTTTAAAAAAATAATAAAATTACCACTCCCAGGAGCTCTTGTCTTTGTTTTATTGATGATTCAATTTATGTTTACCATCTGAGCAAAAATGTAGATTTCTTGATAGCGAACATTAGATTTGAACTCTTCTCATCTAATTAGGGCCCAACGTAGCTAGCAAGTAGCAAGGGCATTTTCCATACAAGCCCAGTTTCTGTTGCTACATACCTGGCGATTGGTGGCCTATTGAAACCTCTACGATTTAGGCATAATTATATTTTGTCTCAAAAATTTTATAAATTACAATAATTTTTATTTTTTTTATTATTTGTGAATGTATTACTAAGTTATATATCAGATACATAACTATATATTAGATTCATACCAATTTATGTTTGAAATAATTAGGATAATGTATCAACAATAATATTTGTATTCTATACAAATAAAATGATAATATTTCTAATAATGGCGGATTCAGAATCTTTTAATTAAAAATGCTTAGCTATTTCTAATTTGAAAACTAATTGGAAAATTGGGTGCTCAATATATGTACATTTTTGTACAAATTACTAGATTTCCAATATAAATAATAATAGTGGCTCCAAAATGTAATGGGTATTCAAGCACCCATAAGCTTGAAGGTAGATCTGCCATTAATATCTGATAAGGATGAGAGAGAGAGAAAAATAATATTTTAATGTATTCAAAGGTTAAGAGAAAAAAGGAAAATAATATTTTGTAATTAATTCAAATATTAAAGATTTTTAAAGATTCTTAAGTCGTGTAATTACTTAATTTTTTCGAGCTTTTCTTGGTGAAAATTCGATACGTACTTGTGTAGCGTTATTATCGCCCATTTTACAAACTTCTAGTTCTTCTTCCCCTTTTTACCTTTATACCTTCTAATTTTCTCTCCTTCTCTAACGTACCAATTATTACAAAATCTATGAGAGTAACTATGATAAAAATATTTTTTTATCGATTATAAATATATGTATTAATAAATGGTGCTAAATATGTATTTTTATTAATTAATTATCGCTAAATTCAGTATCATATAGGCTTTAGAAACATTTATAAAAATATTAATTACTATTAATATATATTTAGCAATAATTAAACTATAATTTTTAATTATCACCGCTAAAGGTCATCAAACATAGGAGTGGGCATAAACACCGGAAAATCGAAACACCGAACCGAACCGAAATTTTTCAGAATTTCGGTTTCGGTATTCGGTTTATTTTTTTGTATTTTCGGTATTTCGATTCGGTTTTCGGTACGTATTACTTTGGAATTCGGTATTTCGGTTTAAACCAAAATATTATATTTTAATTTATAAATTATATTATATTTAATAATTATTAATATTAAATAATTTTTTTTTAAAAAAATAAGAAACCTAAATCCCTAATACTTCATTTTGACTCTTCCTCACTCAACAAAGTCTTCATCCTCCTCTTCAGCACTCAGCACAGCAGCTTCTGCCATCTTTTCTCCTCTTCCAGTCTTCCTCTTCTACTCCAGCCAGCCTCCCGCGAGCCGCGACAGCAGGTCAGCAGCAGCCAGCCGCCGGCGACAGCAGGTCAGCAGCAGCCAGCCGCGGCGACAGCAGGTCAGCAGCAGCCAGCCGCCAGCCAGACCAGGTGCAGGTATGTAATTGCAAATCGTAATTTCGGTTTTTTTAATTTTTTTTTGATTTTTTTGATTGTTTTTTCTGATTTTGTTTTTATTACTAGTTATTGAACAGGCCCACTAAACAGCCCATTAAAAAATCGAACCGAATTAATAAAAACCGAACCGAATCGAAATATTTCGATTCGATATTCGGTACGCAATTTACAAAAACCGAAAACCGAAAAAACTGAAGAAAAAAAAATCGAACCGAACCGAAAAACCGAATGCCCACCCCTAATCAAACAGTGATAATTCTTTACGCTCACATACTAACACGTATAATTATACCCCTAAATTTTATAACAAAGAACTGGAATTGGCTTTATGACTTAGCAAAGATATTAGGTGGATCAGGGGTGTCAAAAATGAGCCCAAATATAGGTAACTTGTTCGACCTGTTTAGAATTTTAAGGATTGGGCTTTAAGATAATTTGAATTGGGTTCAGTCTCAACCCATTTAAGCATAACCCATTCGAAGAGAATCCTCAATTAAATCTAATTCAATCTCCAATTTCAATCCGTTTTAAAAATTTTTATTACGATATCTTCCTATATTTAAGGTATGAATTATTATCTATTTAATATCTTTTAGAATTTATCTATCAATTTGTTAATTTTTTTAAAAAAGATTCTTGAACTAAAATTCAAATTATGATTATAAAAATTAAATATCAATAAGTTAAATTATTGAAATTAATCGGGTCAAATTGGGCGGGTCAAGACCTAACCCGTTTTTAGCTCATTTGAGCCCAAAGTAAACTTGGATGAGTCAAAATGCAACCCAACTTTTTTTCAACCCGTTTTAGTATTTCTCAATTTCAAACTCAAACCGTCTATTTCACACCCCTATTTGGATATTTAATTGGTTGTTGCTAGGCAGCTCTAAACAGTCACATGTGAAATGGATTATGAGAAGAGTTTCTTTCATAAATAGAATTCCTTTAATTATTGTTTCAAAAACACAAGGAAGTAGACAATTATGCATTTGTTAGCTGCGAGTTCATGCCAAATATTGTTGGGGATTTAATTTGGGACACTAATACTAAGATGATACCGTAAGAGTTTGACTAAGTTAGTTGGGTGAGTGATTTCTTGAGTGGGAGAGTTGTGATCGATTTTCTCATAGTCAGAATTCATCAAGTTGAATTTATCTTTTATGATTTGTATTTTATAGAATAATGAGAAAGTTACATATTTGACACAATTAAATAATTTTATATATATAAATAATAGTTATCTTCTAGTATTATTTTAGTGTACAGACATATATGTAGTATAAAAAAATTCTACAAGACATCAAATCTCCCCCCCCCCCCCATGATATATTAAAGTTTTTTTGTACTATTTAAATAATCTGAGTGAGTATTCAACTTTGAAATCTTAAAAATAAATAATAAAAGTGAAGTGACCCGAACATCATAAATTCCTTCAGAAATTTGTTATACAACTAATTATGATGACAAATGTAATACCTAACACGACGTACCGTGATTGAACAATAATATTTTTTTTAAAAAAAAATAATCATAATGAGCTGGTCATTTAATTCTTTCGTTAATTTTCTAATATTATTTAGAATTGTTTGAGTCAGCAGTTATCCATTTCAAGCTGTTCATTTCTAAAACACCAAATAGATTCTTAATTTTAGTAAAAATAAATTAAGTGCATTGACTTTGACTTTGATTGATTTTCTCATGCAAGTGGGGATGCACATTCCAATAATTTATTCCAATTGGGAATTCTTAAACAAGGGGGAGAAATCATACGTTTGGTTGGCTATTACCAATTACATTCTGTCTTGGACTAAAAATGTTATGAAATCTCTACTATATAGAAATGTGCTTTAATTAATTTTTTTACGTATGACAAAGTCTTCAAGTTTTTTTTTTCCCTCTTTACTATAAGCTCAGCTCACAATAATCATCAATATGGATTACAAAGAAGACAAATCAGAAATTTCGCGATCATCCATTGAAGAAGTTGATGTACATAAAGAAACAAAGTCGAAAGAAGTTAACAATGATCAAGTAATTGTTGATTCACCGAAGATTGTAACAATCAGAAGTGATGAAAATACAAATGCAGAGCAAGTTAAAGACGAAGAAAAAAACAATAATGATGATCCACCAAAGATGGTAACAATCGAAAGTGAGGAGAATAGAGATGCAGAATTAGTAAAGATAAATCAAATTGAAAAAGAGACAAAATGCCGGCCAATAGCATTTCTATTGGGACTTCCATTTGCCTTAATCTCTCTCATCATCGCTTTTATTGGAGGAATTATCTGGATTATCGGGTTTGTCTTTCTACAATCGATTTTTATTTCGTCACTTATTATATATCTGCAGTAACATATAGTTTATCTTATGAATTTTGGCGACTTGATAGTTAAACTCATTCAAAACATTGGTCAAAAAACTCCTAGCTCCTAGAAGTTTCTAACTATCGAGAGAGAACGAATCTAAAATACTGGGTAAATTTTCAAAAATTCAATAACTTTATACTGAACTCTACAATTATATTTTCAGAAATCTATTAAATATAAAAAAAAATATCTATTGGAAACCCAATAACAAAACATTCACTTGGTCCAACGTCGGTGAAGGAACCACTTAAGCTTAGTTAACCTTTTGTACGAGGGTGATTACCCTTGGTCACATATAAATAAGTTCTCTTTTTGTAACTTGTAGGAAAAACCATGAAATGATTTTATGTATTTACTTTTGTTTTTCTTATTAAACACACGGATATGAGTTACGATTACTTTCTCTTTTAAAAAAGAATCTAATTCGATTTGACATGAAGTTTAATAAAATAAAAAAGGTTTTTGAATTTTGTGGTCCAAATTTAAAGTTACGTAAATATATAAAAAATTGTCATTTTATCTTGTGACCTTAAACATGTCATGTAGAAAACTGAAACTAAAATATTATAAAAAAAAGTCATTTTTTATGAAACTGACCAAAAAGGAAAGAATATCATTTTTTTTTAAAACGGAGGGAATATTAATTAGTGTAAGATTAATTTGTGGGAGAATTTATGTCGCGGCCATCCAAGTAAAGGGTTATATTTTTGCACAAAAAGATGTGAACTGCTAATCAATTTAAGAGTGTTTATTAGTCTGACTTAATCCCAAGTAGCTTAAATTTAATTTATTGTTAGAGAAAGCTATGATGTTCATTAAATGTAAAAGTTAACAAGAATTTTGGTGATGGTGCAGGTTGATTTTGACTTGCATATGCCCCTGTTGCTTTTGTGTGACTGTGTTGGTAGAAATGGCACTTGGTCTGGTGAATGCTCCTTTTCAACTCTTCCACTATATGACTGATAAAATACCTTTCTGATCAATTAATTAAGACCCTTCCATATGGGATTAATTAAAATGAAGATTACTCAATTTTGTACATAACAAGAAAAAAATATGTGTTTTATATATTTGTCGTGTCTTCAAAAAAAATTTCTTCTTTTGATGGTTCTCTTTGGTCTCTTCAAGTGTACTACATCCAATAATTTGCTTGGTTAGTTTTGTTCTTAATTTTGATACAAGTTTAGACTATTAATGTATATCTCATGTGTATTTATATTGTGCTCATAATTATTCAACGTAACTACGTAAGTGTGAATTGTGATCTTCTTATAAGAACAATGTGTAAAATTGTGTAGTATTTGAGAATAAATTAGAATGAAATTGATTCATTCTTAAAAAACTTCTTATCTAATATAGAGTATTTTTGAATTAAAAATAATCTACGTTATCATCTAATTTCCATCACTTTCACGTACAAATACGTTGTATTAGGATCTCTAATTTCTAATTCTACGTATTATTCGTAAGTGAAAGTGATAAGAATAAATGAAAACGATCCTCCCACACCCACACACACAAAAAAAAACTAAATGTCATTTTTCACTATTAGTATTATCCTTTAATTATTCCAACCTAGTAAAAATGGAATAAAGTCTCAAGAATCTCTTTGAACTTTAATAAATTTATATATTTTGAACAATCAATAAAAATTCAACAATTCACTTGACTCAAAAAATTACTACCAATAACAAAACACATTAAACTTAGACACGATTAAAAACTTACGGTCATAAATGTTGGGTTTTATTTGCCCTGATTTCTTACCATAAATAGGTTTTCCTTTTAGGAAAAGGTTTTGAATTGACTAATCCTTTTCTTGTAGGAAAAGGTTTAGGACTCTATAAATAGAGAAATATTTCTTCTAACTTAATCAGCATTCACAATGTAGTTTTAAGGGTTTTGAGAGTTTTGGTTAGGGAGAGAATTTGTGGGTCACAAGCTTGATACGTTATCACTTGTGTGAACCTCCCATGTATTCCGAGTGAATTGGTTGACGTTGTTTCTCTCTGTATTTTCTACTCTCATATTTATAGTGGATTGCTCATCTCCTTTGTGGATGTAGGTCGATTGACCGAACCACGTTAAACTTCTGTGTCTTTTGGTGTATTTCTCGTTGTCTTCTTACTCGTGGTCTTTCGAGGTTAGCTTTGCTAGCTTCCGCATTTACACCTGCTTATTTCCGGTCCTAACAATAAATGCATGTAATCTATGACCAATAACATTGCACGCAACCAAACATTTAATTATAGTTTGTAACATAAAAAAAAAATTGTTTCTAAGCTTAGATTAGATGTATTATAAATATTTGTATTATATAAAGTCTGTGATGAAAATAAGAGAGAACAAAATTTAAAATAAAAATAAAAAATGGCGTTTGGAACATTTTCTATGTTGACATGCATTTCACTATTAATTTTCACATTGATTCCTCAATTACCTTTGGCTGATGGTGCTATTGAATCCTCCCTTCGAACAGCGTCAAGTAATGCGCGTATCTTAGCAAAGGAATTTTTTAATCCTGACATCACTGATTGTAGCATACTTTTGGACAATTATGCTGCAAAATATCTTGATTCAGCACTTGAGAAATATAATGATGGTGAATCCAAAGATATTATAATTGAACAAATTAAAGAAGCACAACATTATATCAAAGCTTGTCAAGAATCAGCTGAAGCAGAGTTTATGCTCACTCAACAACTTGTTGATCTTCAATCACTTGTCAACAAAACTAAGGAACAAGTGATCGACGTATATAAATTTGGGAGCAAATAAAATATTACATCCATGTTGTAGTTATATTTTTATATTAAACACACGTAACCTTTATTTTTTTTTGCATCACTGCTTATACATATGAATGTAACATTTGTTAAATAAAAAACATAAAAATAAAAGCAGAAAATAGAGTAACAAACGTATTATATATATAGTAATAATAATGATAAAAAAGAATTGGCATAAAATATAATTGGAAGTATGTTTCACCTAGTTAATTGTCTCTCAAAATGTATTATTTTGTCCTCAATCTTCGTCTTTGTTTTCTCAAAACAAATTTCTTTTTTTTTTCTGTAATTGTTTCTGTCAAACAATTTTTTTTTTGTTCGTAGCCTTTTGTATGCTCATGAAAGGTGAAAGTTTCCATTGATAAAATATGGCGTTTGATGTGATTTTTCAGGTTATTGTTTTATATTAAATAATATTTTGGATTGTTGAGTGATGCTCCAATTTGAAAAAAGAAGTGTAATATTCTACCGTCTATATATAAACTTAATGTCACTTATAAACTCAAATTACATCAATATGTCATATTTACTCAAAATCATGCAAATTTCATATCCTGGTATGCACAAAAAATTTAATAAAAATACCTTCTCAATGGATTTGACTTTTTTAGACTTTTGGAAATTTTTTAATCCTCTTTCAATACTTGAACTAGCTGTTTTTTCCGTAACATTTTTTTTTCACTTACAAAATCGAAATCGAAGTCTGAATGTAGATGTGGGTGACGTGCGTTAAAAATTGATAATTGTAAATTAAGAAAATGCTTGAATATTGCAATTGATGATTAACAACTCTACGCTTGATTCTCACTCATTAGTTAACAATTGTTTCTCTCATCTATTAATTAATATAATATACAATTAATTAATTTATAGATTGACATATTACTAATACATGTAATTAATATTTTATTACTAGTAATTAAAAAATAAATTTAGAAACTGTAATATTAATCCTCAGATAGATGTGTGGGGTGATTTGGGTAAATAAATCCCAACAAATAGGTTATAACTTCTTTGTCTATTTTTACAATTTAATATATCAAAAAATATTTTATAATTATGAACATATATAATATATCAAACAAAAGAGGGATTTGCTCACTATTAATGATAGTATTCCAAAATTTTAATTAAAGATAATTTAGTGAAAATACTTTTACTTTCCAAGTGTGAAAAGATCGTCATAAATTAATGAACGTGTTTAATGACAAAATACATTGCACTTTTATTGTATGCAACCAATACATTCAACATTACAATTTTGTAACAGAAAAAAAAGTTAATTTATAAACTCGTAGTATTAGATATAGTTATATCATTAAATACCGCACTTATTGAAACAGCCCAATTAATATTAGATATAACATCTCAAATTTAATTAAACACTTAAAAAAAATCATATATATATATATAAACATAAACTTCTTCCGATCAAACAAAAATTATAATAATTAATAAAAAAAAAACTTCTTACAATCTAACAAAGAGAAAAAAGAAAAAGAGATTCACAAAATAATGGCAGTATCTCTATTTGGTACAACTTCCATGGTTACATTCATATCAATATTAATTTTCTCACTTATTCCGAAATTACCCTTGGCTAACGATGATATCGTATCCTCTCTTCAATCGGCGATAGATAGTATCGGACGTATAAAACAATATTTAGCAATTGATGAAGTCATATATTGTGAATTCAGATTTGGCGATGCCGAAAGAAATCTTAAACTGGCAATTACGAATTATCAAAATGGTCAATTCAAAGATGTTATCAAACAAATTGATGAAGCTCTAAATAGTATCAAAAGTTGTCAAAATACATCTGATGCACAGAGTTATATTGACGGAAGTGTAGTACAAGCTATGGATGGTGTTGTATTACTGATCAACAAAATTAAGAAACAAGTATTGGAATCAGCTTTGAGCCCACAAATATATCATTGATTTACTATATATGTGTTGGAATTTGGAAATGTTTGTACCAAAAAAAAAAGATGGATAAATATTTATGCGGATTTATTATTAAGCTTCCTATGCATGAAACTTTTAAGATTTATGATGAATGGCATATACTTTGTAAGGGATCATTGTAACTAATTTATATAATCATAAAAAGACCAAAGATTCTACTCAAATGTTGACCATTTTTGACATTTTAAAAACAGATCACACGAGGGACATAATTGACATTTTTTAATTTTCAAAATATTAATTAATTAAAACTTTGATTATGACAATACGTCTAATTTTCGAGACAGTGACTGTAAGTTATATAATTGAGCAAAGGACAAAAATCACATACATTTAAGGTAAAATTATCATTCCTCCATTATAAATTTATAATTACAAAAATCCACTAATCTGATACTCGAGATATATTAATCTGATGTGCGAGATACATTAATTTGATGCGCTGACACATTATTCCGATCCATAAAAAGGAGAGATTTTGGATATTTTAAAAATTAATTGGGAATAATAATAATAATAAAAACTTTAAAATGAGATTTTTATCATTTATCAAAAAGAAAAATTAAAATTGGTCTGGAAAAAATCAATTTAGGTAAGAATTCCATTATCTTCCTAATAATTGCATGCTTATGGGCTGAGATTGTTTGCTCCATTAGTTTGAGTCCAATTAGCATGATGTTGGAGACAAAATGGCAAAACATAACACTTCATAGATTAAATTAGCAATAAATAGTCTATTTTTAACTTTTAGCAAAAAAAAAAAGACTTTATTTTATTTATTTGGCATTGAATAGTTATTTTTTTTAAAAAAAAATTGTATATTTTTTCCCTTATTTTTTCTCAAACACGTTCTTAACAATTATTGTTTTATCAATCCTATTTTACCTTTTTTTTTTATTTTATTTTGTCAACAATTTTAAAATAGAGTTCTTTTTTTGTCTCATTTTTCTCTTTATAGAATCCTTTTCATACTTCTATACGTAATTCTCTTCCTAATTTTAACTTTTTTCATTAATTCAATCTGTTTATGAAGATCAGATTTAACAATATGTTTTTATGGATACTTCTAAAACTCATCTTTATATATAATTTTGTTCTTGTCAAATTGATTGTTGAATTTCATGACTTGTAGAATTGAAACTTTTTCAAATTTGTTTTTGCGACTCAACCTTTTTTTGTTTTCTTTCTAAAATTCATTTCTTATGTAAATTTACTTTCTTTCTAAATTTTCTGTTATTCTCCTAAATTTATTATGTCTATGCAAATCAAATATAACTGAATGTTTATTGATTGATCCTTCAAATAATTTTTTTAGTAGATAATTATGTAGCATTTCTTGCTCCATTAATTTGGAAATTTCGTCATTTGTGGAATTAAAGTTTTTAAAACTTTTTTTTGATGAAATTTCAGGTTATAGTTTTTTGAAATTTTTGTTCTTAATTTCACGGGTAAGAAAGATCTTCGTAAAAAATCAGAATGATGATTTTGTTG